GCGCGCTCGTTGACGTCAGCTTTATCTGTCTGTCCTCTTATTGATGATAAAAAATAGCCAATCAGCGCGCGAGAAATTTCTAAGTTATTGTAAAAAAACTTTTCGCTCATTTTATTTTGTAAACATTTCGCAGTTTGTTGTAAAAAACAGATCGCACATAGATTTCCATCATTGTCTGTCCTCTTATTGATCATAGATGACGTCTTAAAATTTTCAAAACTTTTCAGTGAAACTACTCGCTGCGCTCGTGGTTTCACTTTAGTTTTGAACATTTTAAGACGYCATCTATGATCAATAAGAGGACAGACAATGGAAATCTATGTGCGATTTGTTAAACAGACTCTAGCAATACTTCAAAAGCATTAATTTTTTCTTTGCCATTCGTGAGTAAGTGGGTGTTGCATGAAATAACATAGCTTTTCACTGTTCAAAAAGTTGTAAATAAACCAGTTGTAAAGTTAATATATTGTACCAATAGAAATTAAATATCTGGATTTCTTCAGCATGCTTTACAGCAGTTTTTAGAAATATTCGCAGAAAATGTATACGTATGGAAGGAAGACATGTTTTGATATGATGCATTGATAAGATTTTCTTGTAATAAACTTTAATATCGAAAGCTCAAAGGGTTTTAAGTAATCCTAAATGACCAAAAAAAATCAATAAAACTGAGATAGTGTAGATTTTCAGGTTGGTGTCATGACAATAATCATGGTCATCTCATCAGTCATCGTCATCATCATCATCAACTTTATTTACACTAAGAGGAAGACAATAGTTGACAATTAAAAACGTCTGGCACTCCAGAAAAACATGCTTATTCAGTGATATAAGAGTTTAAAAATCTGTGACGTCATACACTCAATATCGAACATCGCTCCATAAATTTCTTTGTAGTTTATGATCAAAATATCAGTAGTAAAGGGAGAAAGAAATACCCAAACACCCCAAAATATAAATTATAGTCACAAGTAATGTGAAATAAGCACATTAGCTACCCTTTGGGCTTCACAGGAATACAATAAATTAAGGATTTATATACAAAGAAATGTATGGAGCGATGTTCGATGTTGAGTGTATGACGTCACAGACTCCAAAAAATAATCGTAAAAATATCATACTTTCGTCCTGAATATCGAGAAAACACTTCATACAGTGATTACTGCACCTTTAAAGAGTATTCTTAGGAAGTTTCAGCTGAATCCAAGTTTGAGCGATTTTCGTCGTAGTAGCACTTTAAAAACCGTTGTGTTCCTAGATTACAGACTCATTTGCACAGGGTTAGCCTCGTATCAGTGTTTAAATATTCACAAATACCAACGATAAAGTAAAGAATGCACAAGTTTAATAATGCAAACACTTTGAAATTCCACGGACCTTCATTGGGGTGCATGAATATTCAAAATAATTCCATACTAAATAAAGGCTAACCCTGTATAAAAGAGAATTCAAAACTGGAGTGCATGAGTTGTGCGCCCTTTTATTCATGTACGCGGCAGGGATACATTAGGAAGCATGGGTGATTAACTTGAAATAGAAGGAGAAATGGCATTTTCCCAAAACTTGGCCCTAATCTTTCATTGTACCGTGGGCGTTTCAAACATGCAATGAAAAAGGGGGTCATCATTCTCGTTTTTGTGCTGCATAAACCTCAAAATATGGCAAAGCATGACCGCGATGACAAATATGGTCGTAACCGGAAGTGGAATAAAATAACACCATTCCTTGTAAGTGAGGTAACACCTCAGTAACCGATACTCGGATATTTTAACTGAGGCCCTCCGGCTTGAACCTAGTCTCCCTCGCATCCGTTTTTAGTGTCGGTCGTCACGCAGCGTTGCGTGACGACCGGCAACAAAAACGGATGCGAGGGAGACTAGCTTGAACCCTCTTGCACAAGAGACCTATTAATGTTGTGCCAACCTGGAGGCGGTCCGTTGCAGTCTTCACGCACTGCTGATAACGGCAAAATTGGAAGAATTTATAAGTTTGGGGATCAAATTGACTTTTAGTACTACTTTACTTAATCCGTGCATGATTAGAATTTTGATCACCCAATGATTTTGAAATTGAAAATATCTTAATAATTTGCTTAACATTTTCAAATGAAGTTCCTCCTTTTACTAATTCACCCTGTTTGTCTAACTCCTGTGCAGCATGCATCGCCCGCTCCTCGTTCACATCGCGTGGATGAGCCACTTGGTTTCTTTGATCTTGGAGCAGCTTGATGCCCCCTATTAGTTTTTTCAGCTTTGCCCAATTGATTTTTTCTTTTATCTCTTTAAATCTTTTTTCGACTTCTTGTTTTTCTTCGTCAGGTATTTCTTCGTCAGTGATATCTTCTGTAATGCCATTAATCTTATAATAATAATTTTCAACACAGTAGTCTATAGGTAAAACATAACGGTATAAGTTATTTTGTARCTCTACACAAAGCTGTCCAAGATAAATCTTGTGCTCATCCTGGATGAGTCTTTTATATTCTTTTAAATTATTTTTCAATTCTTTATTTTTCTGTTTTAGTTCCTGATTCTCGTCTTCATTCATTTCGTATGCGTTACGGTAATCTTCCAATTTTTTCATTTCTTCCTTATGGCTTCCCTTTAGCTCTTGAATTCTTGCTGCATTCCTAGCCTCAAATTTACGCATGTCGATTTTGTAGCCTTCTTTCATGTCTTCCATTTTTTTCCGGTGACTCCAGTTCTCGTTTTCTATGATCGTACTTTCCAACGAAGCGATTTCCGCATCCTTCTTTTTAAGCTCTTCCTTCATTTCTATTTTTTCATCCTCAAGCTGGATAATTTTGTTTTCAAACTGTTCTTTCTTTTCCAAGAGATCTTTTCTTTCTTTCTTGGTTTCTTCTTCTCTGCTATGTTTTTGATCATTCAGTTCTTTTATTTTGATTTTATAACTTTTAATCTTTTGTTTCAAATTTTCGATCTTGTGACCTTTTTCATTTATTACCCCTATAAGTCGTTCACATTCCGGATCTCGCATGTTCAGGTGTAGGTCTCCAAACGACCTTTTCGCCCTTATAGAGCTTT